GCTGAGGCCTGGGCACCCCGACCCTGGCTCATCGTGCTCCTAACACCTGGTCTGGCCCCTCCTGGGTCATGTGAGCCACCGGCCTCCCCTCAGGAAAGGGGTCCCCAGGAAACTGGCCCCCTCTTCCCAGGTGAAATCTGTTCATGGTGGATGTCAGCCCAGCCTGGGCCTCCCTGTCCCCCCGTCCCCCCTGGCCCCCCCCCCCCCGGGGCCTTGTCTCCCTCACGCCCCCCACAAGGGCAGACTCTTCTACCCAAGGCTTCATCCGACTTCTCCCTCATCGCCCCCACTCCCACCCACCCATCCTACCTGGCAGGACCCCCCTCAGGCCTGCTCCCCCTGGGCCTGTGCTGCCCCCTCCCCCAGTGCCAGCGGGTCTTTCCATGCCCCTCACTCGGCCCCACCAGCAGGTGGGCGCTGCAGCCTCCAGGGCACACAGCACACAAGCCAGGAGCTCGGTCTGTGATGGACCCTCCCTGGGGGGTGGGGACGAGTTCTCAGAGGCCCGGTGCAGCGGCAGGAGGAGGAGTTGCCACCCACGCCCACCCTGCTCTGCTCCTCCGCCCCCACTTCTGTCTCCTCCCCGTCCAACCCCCCACTCTGGCTCCATCCACACCTCAGAGGCACAGACGTCTCCGTTTCCTTCAGCCTGACGGCCCCTGACCTCCAGGACTGTCCTTTTCTTGCTCAAACACTCTCCCCATCTCCCTGGGCCTCATCTGCCTCTGACCTCTCTCTGGACACCACTCCCCTGCCATGACTCTGGCCCTGGAGGCCGCAGTGGGCGCCTAGCTGTCCCTTCACCTCGTGTCCTCGCCTCACTCCGTCTGTCCCTGCAGTCCGTGTCACGCCTGTCTGAACCCTTCCTTGTCGGCTCTGGGATCGAAGCCAAGCCTTCCCCCGGCACGCGAGGGCCTGCTCAGGCTCCCTCCAGCCTCTGCCTGGCTGCTCCCGGCCTGGGCCTCGGCCACCTGGCCTCCCTCCCCGTGTTCCTCAAGTGCTCGAAGGGTTCTCGTCTCCTCCGCCTCCATTCCCATGGCCTCTGCCAGGTGTGGCCTCTGCCAGGCCTGTCCACCTGCTCAGAGGTGCAGGCTTCCCTGAGCCCCTGGAGGCCGCCCTGAGTCCCGCTGCCAGTTGTCCCAGTCCCTCCTGCTCCCATCACCCCGGCCGGGTCTGCAGGGCCGGGTCTGCCTGCTGGTTTGGCCCCGGCGCTGCCTGCTGGGGCCTCCAGCAGAGCCCAGCCCTGGGAAGTACCTGCCGGATGCCGGATGCTGGCTCTCCCCTGGGAGGCGGTCCCCATCCTCGTCCCAGGTTTTCAATGGACAGGAAGGGCCCGGAGCGGGAGCTCCTTGGATGGCCGGGCACCGATCCAGGCTGGGGCTGCCCCTCCCCCACAGGATCCCAGCTGTCACCGTCCCAAAATAGCCTGCATCTGTGGGCAGGTGTGCCAGGGCTGGGTGGCGCTGCCAGTGGGCAGAGCTGGCCCTGTGGACCGTGGGGGAAGATGGGGACAGCTGTAGGGGACTTTCCTGCCCGGAGCCTGGTGCCAGCCTTCGGGGGCGCAGGGGGGCGGGTGCCCCCTCCCACCTGGCGCTCCGCTGCCTCCCCAGGTGATCGGGCTGCTGGACGTATTCACTCCAGATGAGACCCTGGATGACTTCACAGACTTGTGAGTTCCGGTCTGGGCCAGCCCGGCAGGGTGGAGGGGTGCGGGGTCACTCCTGGGTGCCAACTTCGGAGTCTGGGTTGGTGTGGGGACCCGCTGAAGGCAGGCCTCTCCCTATAGCCTGGAGGGGGTCGGGGTGCACACTGCCCACCCCGTCTTCACGCCACAGTCCCCTTCCCTGGGACCCACAACCTCTTCCCGCCACCATGGGCACCAGGCTGTCTCCAGTGCGGGAGGTGTGAGCCTTGGGCCCGAGCATTTGTTAACTGGCAGGTCCTGGCCCCTGGGCCCTGGCACTGAGTATGTGGCCATACTGAAGCTGCTGACCTTTTCGGGAGGGGAGGGGCAGGGCGGGGCGGCATGGTGCCTGCCTTGTGGCTGCCTGGGCAGCATCCCCTGGGCTCACACTGCTGTC